AATGCCAGCAAAGGTCAAAAGATACCTTTCGAATGGTTTGATTTCCATGCTGCTTGTAGAGGCATGAAGTTTGAGAATGTCAGCATGTTATTAGATCAGCTGAGGGACAAGATTGAGAGTTTTGGAAGCACTGTTCAAGAAGACGGGAAGCAATTGACTCGACAGCAAGGTGTCTTCCGAACCAACTGTATGGACTGCCTTGACCGAACCAACGTCTGCCAGAGCTCATTCGCAAAGCACATGCTGGAAGTTCAGCTCAAGGAGGAAGGCTTTGACATGAGTGCGCAGTCTGATCAAGTGACTGCTTGGTTCAACACCCTCTGGGCGGACAATGGCGATGCTGTGTCGAAACAGTACGCATCGACAGCAGCGATGAAGGGCGACTACACAAGAACACGGAAGAGAGATTATCGTGGTGCGTTGAACGATTTGGGACTCGGTCTTGCTAGATACTATAGCGGGTATGTATTCCAATTCCCCCTTCTTGACGGCTCAACCTCTTGCTAACCAAGTCAGCATGGTCAACGACTACTTCAGTCAAGCAGCCATTGATTTCCTCCTCGGCAACGTAACAGCCAAGATCTTTGAAGAATTTGAGAGCGACATGATGACGAAGGATCCAGCGGTATCCGTCATCAAGATGAGAGAACTAGCCGTCGAACTATGCCAGAAGCGAGTCATAGCCGATGAGAAGGAAGAGTTCCACGGCGGCTGGGTTCTCTTAAGTCCTACCACACCTGATGCTATCAAGTCCTGGCCACTCGAAGAGGTTGTTCTGTTGTTGACAGACGCAGCTCTCTATTCATGCCGTTTTGACTGGAAGTCTGACAAAGTATCCTCCTTTGAGCGTGTCGAGCTCGATAACATCACAGGCATCAAGTACGGCACTTACATCACCTCCACCATCTCCCTTTCTCACATCGACGAGATTAGGAATGCCGGCTTTGTGGTGACATATAGCCCCGGCAAGAGTGACATTCGCCGTACCAACACGCGAACCTTCTCAAGCCGCGGTGAGAGGACAGGCAAGGAGAATACTACCGAACAAAAGGATGCCAGCGTTCCCGCCAGCCTAGCCAACTTGCTTACCAGCAAATCCTCGTCTTCTTCGTCGCCGAGCGTTCGCCGCCTTGTCTTCAAGGCGACAAATGTGGATTCCTCTGTCGCTGTTGTAGGCGATGATGGTCCGAAGCAGACAGAGACTCAGCAAGTTTCCACCATTTGCGGTGACATTGAGCGACTGGCGCTGGAGAGACAGGCGGAGCATCCGGGCGAAGAGAGGAAAAGGCTTATCGAGACTGGCCCCATCATTTCTCTGGAGGAGGCCAAGAAGAACACGGGATTGTTAGAGCAGCTAGGACACTCACTCAAGAAGATGGTGTGGGCTTGATAGATCCCGCCACCAAAGAAACGGCGTAAACGACCGATCCCCACATAATACTGGTATAGATAATGCAAACCATAGATATCACGATAATTATCAAGATGGTGTTTCTTAATCATGGCTTTTGCAAGCGGTACAAGTGCATCTGGTAGCGCATATTCTCGAGCGGGATTGGATAAGATAAGCCTTCTGGTAGACGAAACCATATGGAGTCGTCCGACTGTAGCTTTTCCCAGGAGTATCCAGGCGTTTCAGTTTCCATGAGGGTGTGGTCGAGAAGCCATTGCATAGGGTATCTCTTCTTCTCTTTACCCACAGCTGCCTCAGAGTAGCTTCCTGGGCTGTCCACTACAAGGACCAAGCTATCAGATGCCAGGACCTGCCCAAGATTCTTGAGAAACTTTGTCGTCTTGCCGATACCTGCTGTTGTGTACAGCTCATTGAGTGTGAAGAGAAGAGTCAAGATGATGGGTACTCTGCCATTGGCACATTGCGCTGAAAGAGAATCCATGTCAAGATCCAGGACATCTCGCTGCACCACGTCCAGTGAAAGTTGATTCTTTTCCAGCAGTGGATGATTGGCCGCCTGACGTGCCGTAGATGCATATTTTGAAATGGGTGGAGGATTGACGGTGCTGGATTCGAGAAGAGAAATGACCGTGGTCCATGGGCCCGAGTCGAGAAGAGTTAGATGGCCATCTGCAGCAGTTGTCTGGAGATAGGAGGCAAAAGCAATGTGCTCAGCTGCACACCCGCCTACAGATAACATTCGAAGAAAGGCATTGCGTCGAGTAGAGGTACTGTCAAGTTTGAGATCCTGAAAGGATTCTAGTTCTGTCTCCTCAGGCTTGTCATTTGCATCATCCTGGGTTGACTTGGTGACCCTTGTATCTGATACTGAGTCCTCCTTGGTGCTACGTGTGTTATCTTTCGTCTCTTCCTTAGCAATCAGAATCCCATCGAGGTGCTTCTTGATACTGAGAAACACGACAGCATAGCATAAAGCCCGTGTGGGGCTCCATCGAGCAGCATAGGCTTCGAGGTAGTCCTCTCTCCCGAAAGCGGTAGCAAATTCCCGATTAAATAAGGCTTGCTTTATCTCCTGAAGCAACCTTGAGAAATCATCTGACGTGAGAACATTGTTGAAAGCACTCGAGAAGATATTGAGAAGACGCTGCTGCTGCTCTTCGCTTTGAAGAGCTGGTGAAGAGGTTTCTAGCGGGGCAGATGATTTCTTGGAGCTCTGCTTTGAACTGGAACTCGGCTTTGAAGGAGCAGCCTTTTTGGAGGGTCCCGTTTTCTTGACCATTTCTCTTACTTGTATCTGGTCCTAGCTCATTGGCTGTATTGATTCGGTGAGTAATACCAATATCGTCGATATCGTCGGTTGGTGGTTGGGTTGATACTGGGGAAAAAAAGATCGGACATATTTTACCGATGAAATCGAAAACCCCCACTTTGGAATCATGGCTGCCCTAAGGTACATAGATTTTCATTTCTTCCCTTGAGGGACGGGGATGGATGGGTATGGCGGTTCTTCGGGGCACGGAACGGCTGGATGTAAGTGAAAGTGAGTAATGCAGTGTCATGTTAGCAATCAATCTCGTGAATATTATCATATCACATTCTGTTTATCACAGAAAGTTGGTCATGGTGGCCAGGCCTACGGAGAGTTTTGCTCGGGGGCTTAGAGCTCTTACATAGAAACATCATATCATTCATCAGCAGTTACGGCATCATTGATAAACATCAACATAGTTCATCCTTTTCCTCATTGGTTTCGAAGGTGCTACCTCTACCACACCTTTCGGAAGATGAGAGAACAGCTTGGTTGTTTTCTCTCCGACTATCGCTCCCCATCATTTATTTACCCCCAAAGTCGGATATGTCACTAAGGTTAGCTCGCTCAACCAAATCATTTGCGGATAAAGCACATGGTGACTTTTGATCCGACTTTTGATCCTCTCATTAATAAGCGCACCTGTTGTAGAGAGAGACACAAAAAGTATACGGCATGGTATCCGAAACGACTCAACACCTGGGAGCGATCGGAGTTGCCCCTCTTGAACCCCTCGTGGGGGTGTGTTTTAGGCGTACCAATTCAATTGAGCCTCTCGAGTTTCCAGATTGTCCGTCCGTCTGGATACTTTTTGCCTATTTCTATTCTGGCCGGTTAATTTGATCAGACTCAGACGAAACGCGGGAGCTATTGCAGTTTTGGATTGAGGGAAATAGATGGGGTGGAATCATTTGGCTAGTAAGCGGCGCCAATATCTGGTGTTTATTACCTTACCTGCCTTACAACCACCTCACTGTGGCTGACATGAAAATTTGATATCATGGCCAAGAATCGCCAACAAAGAGACAATGTACGGTCGAGAAGAATCTTTCTGGCAATGACTAAGTGGCCAAATCGACGTCACAGCAGCGAGGATTTGTTGCAATGGCCACTTTAAAGTACAAGTGCCGCTGTTAACTATGGAGATCCATCCATTGGAAGCCATGGAATTCATGCTGATGAAATAAGGTCCACAAGTGAGGACCTTGAAGATCAACGAAGCTGCTGGGAGCCAAATTATTGGGTCTATCCGGAGCACGTAGTAGATCTGGTGCTTGTGAATGGGCTTTAGGGAAATCAGAGCCGTGACTAAATCTAATTGCATTAGCATTCATTATCAAGCCAAGCGTCAGCCTGTGTCAACAGTTCTCATGAGAGGAACCAAGTTGAGGTGCAGGCTGCATTTACAGCGGGGAGGGGCACCCTGGCGTCACTGGTTTATCCTCCCCTGCAGCCCAAAACTGTCCCCCACCAGAGACTCCACTCGGCGTGTCGCCGGCCACACTGACCTCGTTTCGGCGGCGACGGCGGAGGGAGCGGAGGGAGCGGACGCTCTGTATTTGGTGAGCTTGAATCTGAGTTTGGGTCATGATTCCCAAGGTGAAGATGGCGGCTTACCTATTTGGGGTGGCTGGTTCAACAAAGTACAGTACATAATAAGGCATGCAGCAGACAATGAAACTCTTGACGTGTTGGGTGAGAGCTTCGACCGCCCAAGGTGGGCATTAGACATCCATCATGAGGGGAGTGAGGGGACTATGGTCACCATGAGCAGCCTCACTATTCTTCTCAGTTGAGTTGAAAATCGTCAAGAGAGCAGAATACCTTGAACTTTAAGATCAAATACTATCCGTCACTGAGCAACCTAGGTACTATAGTACTATGTGTATCCTAGGAGAAATCGGTAGGCAAGGTATGTACTATACCTCATTTCGTATCCATCATAGCAACACCTTCGCGGGATATCGCCCGGTCGAATTTTCTCAAGGCTGGCAGAGAAAACTGGAGACCACTAAACAATTCATGACACGACCCCTCCACCCTCCACTATAAGGTACCTTAGGTAGCGTACCAAGAGCGAAGAGCGTCGTAGGTAGACGTCAGACGCGAGGTAAGGTGCTGCTCCGTTTATCTTTCCGTCATTCTACCTCAACCTACCTCACCCTCTCCTTCTTCTTTTTTCCCCCCTCCTTTCCTCTTCCTTTCCTCTCCTCCATAGAACCAAATACTCATATACATATTCAAAATGGGTTACGGCGAGATTGATCAGAAGGCCATCAACACCATCCGTGTCCTTGCGGTAAGCTCCCCTCTCTTTGCTTTGCTTTACTTTGCTCTCTTTTCTCTTGAGCTCTGCGCAGCTGAATTGGCTTTTACCCCGCCACGGCTGCCCCGCCATTTTACCATGAGAGATGAGACACGAGACGCGCAACAATGTGATGAGGACAGTATTCTCAAGAGAACTCTGTTACCTGGTCTCATGGCAGTTGCACTTGTATTTGCTGTGTTCCATTGAGCCCAGCAGCCTCTCAATGCCCTCACTATGAACCTCCAGGACAACATGAGTACTAACGAGCTGTCAACAGGCCGATGCGACCGCTCACAGCAACTCGGGACACCCTGGTGCTCCCATGTGAGTTTCACCACCCTTCGATGAGCTGAGCGATGAGAACAACATACTGACATTGTCGTCACAGGGGAATGGCCCCAGTTGCTCACGTCCTGTTCAACAAGTTCCTCAACTTCAACCCCAAGAACCCCGACTGGTTGAACCGTGACCGCTTCGTCCTCTCGTAAGTTTTGTCTCGATTGACACGTTACGAATGCGCCCATGACTGACTATTTTGCGCCTCAGCAACGGACACGGCTGCATGCTTCAGTATGCTCTCCTCCACCTTTTCGGCTACGATCTCAGCATCGATGACTTGAAGGCTTTCCGAGTACGTAGCTCACTCTCTGGCTCTAACCCTTGCTTGCTCACACATTCCTCAGTCCGTTGACAGCCGCACCCCCGGTCACCCCGAGGCTCACGACACTCCCGGTGTTGAGGTCACCACTGGTCCTCTCGGTCAGGGTATCTCCAACGCTGTTGGTCTGGCCATTGCCCAGGCTCACACGGGAGCCGTCTTCAACAAGGACGGTTTCCCTCTTGTCAACAACTACACTTACACTTTCCTCGGCGATGGCTGCTTGATGGAGGGTGTCTCCAGCGAGGCCTCCTCTTTGGCTGGTCACCTCCAACTCGGCAACCTCATTGCCATCTGGGACGACAACAAGATCACCATTGACGGTGACACCGCTGTGGCCTTTACTGAGGATGTCCCTAAGCGATACGAGGCCTACGGCTGGCACGTCGTCAAGGTCGACGACGGTGACCACGATCTTGCCGGCATCGAGGCTGCCATCAAGGAGGCTCAATCTGTCACTGACAAGCCTACCCTTATTCAGCTCCGAACCACCATTGGTTTCGGTTCCAAGAACCAGGGCACCCACGGTGTCCACGGCTCTCCCCTCAAGGCCGACGATATCAAGCAGCTCAAGGAGAAGTGGGGCTTCAACCCCGACGAGAGCTTCGCTGTTCCCCAGGAGGTCTATGACTTCTACGGCAAGCGATCTTCTGAGGGTGCCGCTCGCGAGCAGGAGTGGAATCAGCTCTTTGCCAAGTACAAGGAGCAGTACCCCAAGGAGCACGCCGACCTCGTCCGCCGCATGTCTGGCGAGCTTCCCGAGGGCTGGGAGAAGAGTCTCCCCGTCTACACCCCCTCCGACCCCGCCATTGCCTCGCGAAAGCTCTCCGAGACCGTCCTCAGCAAGGTCGAGAGCGTCATTCCCGAGCTCTTCGGTGGTTCCGCCGATTTGACTGGCTCTAACCTGACCCGATGGAAGGAGGCTGTCGACTTCCAGCCCAAGTCCACTGGCCTCGGTGACTATTCTGGCCGATATGTCCGCTACGGTGTTCGTGAGCACGGCATGGGTGCCATCCTCAATGGTCTCGCTGCGTACGGCACCATCCTGCCCTACTCCGGTACCTTCTTGAACTTTGTCTCATACGCTGCCGGTTCCGTCCGTCTATCCGCTCTCTCTCGTGTTCGCACCATCTGGGTTGCCACCCACGACTCTATTGGTCTTGGTGAGGATGGTCCTACTCACCAGCCTATTGAGACTCTTGCCCACTTCCGCGCTCTCCCCAACTGCCTTGTCTGGCGACCTGCCGACGGTAACGAGACCAGCGGTGCTTACTACGTCTGCTTGACCGCCAAGCACTCCCCAAGCATCATTGCTCTGTCTCGTCAGAACCTTCCTCAACTCGAGGGCTCTACTATCGAGAAGGCCTCCAAGGGTGGTTATGTCCTGCGTGAAGTCGAGGGTGCCGACATCACCCTGGTTGCCACCGGTTCCGAGGTTTCCATTGCTGTCGATGCTGCCAAGTATCTCCAGGATAACAAAGGCATCAAGGCCCGTATCGTCTCCATGCCCTGCTTCGAGGCTTTCGACCTGCAGGACAAGGAGTACCGCCTGTCCGTCCTTCCCGACGGTATCCCTTCTCTGTCCATTGAGGTCATGAGCACCATGGGCTGGGAGCGTTACACTCACGAGCAGTTCGGTATCAACCGATTCGGTGCTTCTGGTGCCTACAAGGATGTCTACAAGGCAAGTTTGATCGACGATTGTTTACCCATGATAGAATATGTGACTGACCCCTATTATAGAAGTTCGAGTTCACCCCTGAGGGCATTGCTAAGCGCGCCGTCGCCACCATCGACTTCTGGAAGGATGTCCCCAACATCCGATCTCCCATCAACCGTGCCTTCCAGCAGATCATCTAGATCAAAGATAATAACGAGTAAAAAGAAACGAAGGATAAGAATAAAAACACCGGGAGGATACCAGCCCGGACAGAATGATTATACAAGTGACGACGATGGACTTTGGAGCAAGGTTTTGTGGATTTATAGCAACTTAGACGTACTACAAGATCAAATTAAATCTTTTAGAACAAAGGACTTGACCTAACTGAGCCGTTCCGTGCTGTGATATGCTGTATGGTATCTGCCTGCCATACGATTCTATCATCTATGTAGTCAAGACAGCTTTTACTGGCTTGAACTCATGATCCCAAATATCAAATCATGCGGTTGCGTGTGCCCCCGTACTGTCTTCATCGAAGACGAATTTCTCGTGTTAATGCATCCTCCGTGAACCCAAACTCTCATGACTTTTCGTACCGTCTCGTCTCACATGTCATCGAAACTCAGTCGCATCATCAGAGAATAAGATGACAATCCGAGACGCCAAAACTTTTATCCCGTCATTGCTAAGCACTTTTATGTCGTTCTCTCACTTTGATTCGTCGCATCGCGTCGCATCGCATCGCATCGCATTATATCGCTTCGTAAATGTAATTCGTCATGTCATGTGAACGACAAGCACCCCAGCTGATGGGTGTTTCTGCAGCCTGATCACTCTGGCCCCTCGTCGTTTGCGCGCTCTTGACTACTCTCAGCAGCCCACTCCTTTTGAAACTCTCTTCCCACGCGCTCTAGCCTTGTTGATGCGCGGCGGGCTTCTCTCGCCTCATCTGCGGACCCTGCGACGACCACACCAACGAGCAACGGGGCCGCATCCTCGGATCGCGGATCGTCATGGGACGGCGCAGGTTCAGATCGAGCTGCTCTAGAGTCGGGGCCGTGACTTGACCCAGGCGCTGAGCCCGGGCGGCTAGAGGTGGTCGCGGCAGCGTTGTTGGTCGCTGTATCGACAGCGTCGCGAGGATCAAGATATGAGTGTATCACGACAGGCCCCCGATCAGGGTACTCAACCATGAGACGTTGAGGGCGACCGAGACCGAGTCGCTGAGCGGCGGTCTGAGAGGAGAGGGCGCTTGAGGTGAGAGCTGTGAGGGATTCGAGGTGTGATTGCGACGAGGCCGAGGTGATGAGCGGGGTGAGGGTGACGTCGGAGAGATGGAGAGAGAGGGTGGGGTGTTGCGATGGGAGGTTGGCCATGATGATAATGGCGAGGGCCAAAGCTGGCAGTTTCCGAAGAGATCGGGTGACTATGAAAGTTGAAGATATTCGGCGCAAAGAGAGTTGGCGCAAGAGGAATGAATATTGTTGAGAATGAGGGAGTGAGTGTGGAGGGGGGTTAGAGGATTAGGTCATGGACGGACGATCCGTTGTTGGAGACAAGACGGGCTTTGGGCAATGAGTGACAACTCGACAAGGGAGCTTTTGGCGCCTTCGCTTGGGGCTTGGCTAGCAGCCTAGCACAGGCCGAACCCCGCTGTGAACTCGGCTCTGTCACTACCTACGTTGCAGCGGGATCCAGTGGAGATAAACCCAGGGTTGTTGTGAGGAGGGGAAGCTGTTCATGATAAGGATGGGTCTTTTCAAGTTCCTGATAACAATTGGTCGGAGAAACTTACGAGACGGATCAAGAGCTATATTACATCTATGGTTATCAGTCTATGTTCTGTAATACTAGAAATGAGCCTGTATGGAGGTGGTATCATCGGCTTCAAACCCCAAATATCAAATTCCCCCGCCTTTCTATCTAGTCCCCACTGAAAGCATTGATAATGAATTTAAACGGCCGAGGCCACGGAGCTCAAAGCAACCTAACTATGCCGCCGTTTTCCACCAGCTTAGGCCAGATTCAGACAGCTAAAAGGGCTACGTCACAGTCTGTGTGGGGAGAGTGAAAAGCGCGAGTTTCCCATTGTGATTGATTGCGGCGCTTCTCTCCTAAAAAGAATATCATAGAAGGAGAGCTTCCCATCACCCCGGATTGAGGCTAAGATAGAGGGGGATGGCGTCAGTCGACGTTATGCCGTGATTGGTTCTTAAAGAGGATGGTTTAAATCGTGGGGTACAGTTAGATGCCAGGGTTTCTGACGATGGTTCCATTGCTTGGCTCCTGAAAAGGAGGTTTGTTACCTAAGGTAGTTATTGAATTGAAGGTATAGATGCAGAGAGGAAGCCAAGAGATACAGGAAGCTGTGGGCCCTGTATCACCTATTGTAAAGTTCAGTTTGGTAAGCCCTATTAAAAGTAACACATTAGCTTTTATCCCTTCCAGGCAGCATAAACGCTGTTTCCTTCAGCCAATATATATTCTCAATAATTACGCCTTTAATTACATGCTTTATCCACGGGGCAACCAACCTTATTCTCACAGGTATATATAGTAAGACTGCTGCATTAGCCGAAGAATCCTTCCTACCAATAGAAGGAGATCTTTATCTTCAGTACGAGAACAGCTGGCTTATTGTGTAGTTGGAGATCTCTTCACCCCCAAAACACAGGTCCCAAACTTCGAGCTATACATCATCACATCTTTATCAATCCACACCAACTGCGATCCTTGACACTCAATCTACCGCAAGCCTCATCAGAGATGGCTAGGGACAGAACTTCCTGGGATTGCCTACCTCCCGAGATTCGCAACGAGATTATTGGTCTCCTGCCAATTCTCGGCGGGAGGTGCAGTCAGCTCGTGACCGTTTCCCAAGTTTGGCAATCAATTATCGAGCCGCTCAACTTTGCTGAGATCAGCCTGACGGTACCGCGCCTTGCCGACCTCAATTCTCAAGCTATTCTGTTCCGAAAGAGAAACCAGATTCGCTATATCTGGTTTCGGGTGGAACTGAAGCAGTACGATTGCAGACAATGTGCGAACACTGACCGGGACCGTTGGGGCATGGACAATATCGACAACCAATTCATTGTGGATGCGTTTGAAAGCCTGTTCATGACACTGAGCGCATGGGAGCCTCGTGGTGACTTGGTCCTCGATATCAGTGTCTACTCGCCCAGTGACAACCAGCACTGGTTCAAGTACCTAAGCTTCTGCTCAGACACCAACCTAGGCGAGTGCCCGTCTCGCCATGGACACGAACAAGGAACCACCCTGATGAATGACCCGGCTCATGGCTGGGTTGCCGGACAGCAGGTCCTTGCTCCTGATCGACTCGCCATCGAACTTGCATTTGCAGAGATCATGGGCGAGGGGCCATTCGACGACGAGGAACCTGAGATGCAGTGGTGGCGGGGTCTCCCCTTCGTACCCGTCGTCGGGGTCGTGCTCCTTCGCCAGCAGACCCGCCGACGATGGAAGCCGGTTGCGCTCGCCAATATGCTCACGCGGTTCCCAAACATGAAGGAACTTTGTTACGAACCCTGGAGAGAGTGGACTCAAATTGAGACGCAAACCGACAAACGCAAGTGCCTGCTTGATCCCTGGCAATTTAGTTGACGCAGCCGCTGACCAACCAGAAACAGGCACCCAGACGCTGATCGAATCCTTTCCCTCGACGGAATTGTGTAAGCTAACGATATTCGAGAACTTTAACGAGGCTTACCCAGAAAGATTTTCCCACACTCCTGCTATCAGGGTGCCGAACCCGGCTGTGAGCCAGAAACTTGCCCACGCCAGCCTGCACCTCACGATGCTATCCGCCTCTTTCATGGCCGACGCCGGTCACTTCTTCGCAGCGCGTCAAGATTCATGGACGTGGGATAAGCTCACTTCACTGGCGCTGACTTCGAGGGTCCTCACTGACGATGCGGACCCCTTGGATATCAACAACATGCTTCGAGACGCCGCTGCCGTAGCGCTCAAGATGCCGAGACTTAAAACGATGGAGTTATGGAACGGCAGACGGGGTATGGCAATGCTCTTTCGCTACCAGAGGGCTCAAGATAGGCAGCCAGCCATCATCACCGTACGGGGTACGTCGGAGCTTGCTTTAGGGACTACAGTTACGCAAGCTTGGGATGTGGTCGCTCACCGGCACTGCCATGGCAAGGTCGTCGTACAAACCTCTTCGATCGATCCAGATGGGATTCGATGCCATGGTGATGCGATCCGCCAGCTGGGACTTTCGACCGAGGTCGCTAGGCTTGTCTCGCTGCGGCAAATCCTCAGCGAACATCGGTTTCGGGCATGAGACTATCGCTATCACCATCACCACCACCATCATCATCATCATCAACATGCAGAAGAATTGGTGCAATGATCGAGTCTTGGTTTCAGCCGAGTCCAGTTGTCTCGGCCTACTTATCCAGGACACCACGGAAAGGTGCTCTATCGTCGTCCTGGACCACTTGGCACCTCCACTCGACTTACTTAAGAGAGCTTCGCAGGCAGGGAAAACATGTGCAAGTGTTGTGACGGCGAAGAGACAAAGCAGAACAATGACAAAGAGGATATTTACATACCAATCTAACCTCGGAAATCGCCTCGGCCTTGGCGAAGGGCCACGACGGCCGCTTCCGCCGCGATCTCTGCCCAAATGAACTGACGCCAAGTGTCCAAAGTCAGAAGGCCAGCGAGGTAACCCCTGGCTGCGACGATGGTTGCGTGGCGGGCTTGAGCAAGGATTACTTCGGCGTCTTCAATGGCAAGGCGACGGGACGGTCCTGGCCTATTAAAGCATGTCAGAGGCTGTGAAAAAGAGGCATAAAGAGAACTGGGTGAGAAAAATGGGCAAAGTTTCTTACATTTTGTTCGAGGATGTTATGAGGAGAAGAAGAGCATCAAGGCGGCGATGGACAAGGGGATTTTATATATTCACCAACTGCAATAACAGCAGGAGCATCGCAGGCATGGCTCTTTAGGCAGTGGAATCTCTAGATCTATTACTAGTCCAACCAAACCCTCACCAAGACACAGCTTCGTCCGTAACAGACGAAGCTTCCTACCAAGCTCGATCCAAAGAGGCAGCTTCCATCTTCGTTGAAGGAAGCCACCGACCAAGCCCCCTGCCTCGACCCTTTAGCTAAGGTAGGTTATCGAGACCAAGCCTTCTCTTCGTCTATCCTTCAAGACCGACCTTCAGCATTGACTAGTAATGCCAAGTTTAACTTACCCCCTTGTCTTTGCATGGTATTCCCATGATATGTACCTTTGTGTTACATATACCCTGTACCAAGGGACCGCCCAATAAGTGTTGGACAATGCATTGAATAGAGCAGTAAGCTTAAAGCTTTGAGGAGCTTTAACAAGTGAGACATGTGATGAGTGTTCAGTGACTTCTGTTGCGATCTCGGCATGTAATCAATCGGGGTCTGTTATTGTTGCATAATTGCCCGATTGGTACAGAATATGCACAACATTTGAAATGGACAACGGTAGATCATGTTGATTGGTCTGGCCCAACGTCTTGAATGTGAGAATGAGAAGCTTGGCTGGCGACTGTGCAGCTGGACCGCCTTATCTTGGGAGCTGGCGTGGGGCAACCAAACAACACCAAGCTACTGTAGTCACAAAAATAATGGGGAGATGTCTCATGAGGCAATGTGGCCAGTAGGTGCAATTTAGTAAAGAGTCAGAGCAAATAAGGCATCCAAACCTATCAAGGCATCCTAACGGCGACGCAGAGACCAAACACAGACTTTCATCATGTGCTGATTATTCATCCAATGTTATGGTATTGTGTGGTGCACCAGGAAGGTCGTGTTGTGAGTCGTGAGTCGCGCAATGCGTTGAGTTGAGCCTCCAGTTGCAGATAAAGCGGGACGAGAGTTGTGGTGAATTCGGTGTGTTGCCCAGTAACATCTGTTGAAGTTTATGGGGGGGGGATAGGAATGAAAATAGGCTCGATGGGTTTTTAAGTCTCAAGCTGTGTGTATGATGTCTCTGTCACTGATGTTGATGCTGGGGCGATTTGAATCAAGCTGATCGTGTTGGATAGACGATAGGTAGTAGTGGAGATCCCTTCAGAGCTCTCACCTCAAATGTTTTTGCTGAGGTATAGATAGTACTAACCTTATGGACGGGAGGTCTACTCTCAAGTTAGCTGGTGGTGGGGTAACTGAAAAAGACACTGGTTTGACATGTCACCGTACACCATATATTTGCCTGTGTGGTACTTCGGCTGTTGAAAAGCCGATCAGCTCAGTAACAGCTACCTCCACGGCACCTCATAGGCGGCGTATGAGGTGTCTCCGGGGCTGGGCCTCATCGACTGGGGGGACCCAGCAGATGGATTCTGGCGATCCGATTTACAGTGCCTTATTAGCAAATCTTCTCTTGGACAGCCCAGCCCAGACCAGCCAGACCATTCATCCATACCTGACAGGGACAGGACAGAAATCATCACCACCAACCGAACCACCTCTAGGTTATTCATCCCCCATCCTCTAGGTTACTTGCTGTAGATTCACATTACACTTCCCTTCCCTTCCCTTTTCTCCCTCTCCCTCTTTTTCCCTCCTCCACCTCCACATCCTCCGCACGCCGCCTCTTCCTCCTCGCCCGGCTTCAAGTTCCCTGTCCCGTCTGGTCTGGCCTCGACTCGACTCGACTCGACTCGCTCTCCATCAACGACGTAGTCCGTGCTTGCAGTTTTTTTTACTACAACTGCAACCATTCGCGGCTGAGAGCTGACAACGATTCCCATCTCTTGTCCTTTCCCCCTGTAGTTTTCGATCGGTTCCTTCGTCTAGCGTCTGCTTGCTTGTTGCACTTTTTTGTCCTTTACGACTTAGTTTCATCTATTATCTGGCTTCTGGTTTATTTTCATCTTCTGCCGCCGGCCGGTTCTGGTTTCCCTCGGCGTACCAACCACTCATTGATCGTTTCGTCATCCTATCGATTCTATCGCCTTCCTCTCCGGCCTCCGCCGCCGTATGACCCGCGAACCACGTCGCATCCAGATCATCGAGTCTCCGAAGCCCCCTCTGTCGGCTCCTCCGTCTCCTTCACCGCTGCGCAATCATGGCTTCCGCTGTTCCTCGCCGTCGGAAGCTTATCGGTCAACGTCGCCGTGTTGAGGACGAGGGCGAAGACGAGGCTGGCCCGGAGACCCTCGACCTCGATGACGATTCCATCACCGACGGCTCCCTCACAGACGACAATGATCCTGCCGATGATAGCGATACCAGCAACATCGACGAGGCCTCGCCAACGTCCCCGAATGCGAGGAGGAAGGTCAATGGTGCTGCCAAGCATGCCGGCCATGGCCATAAGTCGGGGTCCGGCTCCGGCCCCGGCCAGAATGGCAAGCCTGTTACCGATACGGACGTGATGCTGCACGGTTTGTCCATCACAGACCAATCCCCCCCCGTTCAGGAGATGCATTTCGACGAGGTCGCTGCCCCGTCACCCAGCAAGTCTCCTGCTGCCCCCATAGTAGTGAGCTCAGCGTCCGCCAGGCCACCTGCTGCTCCTGCAAACAGACGTCGACAAGAGCACGAAGATTACAAACGCAAGAGAGATGAGGATCCGGCTTTCGTTCCCAACCGTGGCGCCTTCTTCATGCATGACCACAGACATGCTGGGCCCGCAGCCAACGGATTTCGTCCTTTTGGACGAGGACGAGGTCGAGGTGGCCGTGGTGGTATTGGAGGACCCTTTGCTCCCATCAAGTATGTTAATGCCCTTCCCTTCTTACTTCTTCCATTTACTAACAAAGACAGCCAATTGCACCAGCCTGCAGACCCTACGACCAATTCTCCATGGACACATGATATGCACGACGCCGTCGTAGAGCCTCCGCCTCCAGCACGCCCTCGACATATGGTGGAACAGGAGGGTCCAGCCAACGGAAATGGCTTCATTCCGACATGTGATCCAAATCCGACCCCAATCAACCGGACTCTCTCCACTGAGAAGCATATCGGCAATGCACAGGTCAGGGTGTCCCTTCCGTCTATGAAAGACCCGGTTGTCATTCCACGTCTTGCCGTGAAACAGTATACCAAGCTCCCCGATCATCGGCCACCTCTGCGTCGGGACAAACCCGTCCGTATCTCGCTACCCAACAATCCTCCTCGATATATCTACCCTGCCGCTGACAGGTCTTTCATTTTCATCCCCCGAGCTATGCGGCCCAACCAGCAGCGAATGCGAGGAAAACCTCGCTCCGGCTTTGGTTCTATGGGTGGCTTCTCAAGACGAACAAGTGTTTTTGGAGGCAGTTATTATGGCAGCGTGTATTCTCCTAGCGTGGCCATGAGCAGGCGGTCTTCCATCGTGGACCGTGACTACATGTTTTCCCCTACAGGCTCCGTTATCTCACGGCCGCCCATCCCTGTTGAGAATACCCGGCCGGTTGTTCGACTACCTCCTGCTCCTCGGCCAGAGATGCCAATGAACGCAATGGTCCCGCCAATGGCTGCTCCAGCTTCTGCTTATGGGCCAGCCGATCCTGCCTTTGGTATCGAGAGACCTCACGCACTAGAGACATCAATCAACGATCTGCCTCCGCCTCAGACATATCCCCTTCCTCAGAAGCCTGCTTTCCAGGAGAACCGACCCACATCGGCTCTGCCCATGCATCAGCCCCGTCCACAGAAGAACATATCTGTTGCTGATATCGAGTCACCTACCTTAACACAAGGCCCCCAGGCTTACCAGCAGGCCTTCCACCAACAGGTGCCTATTCAAATGGCTAATGGCCTCTCTCAAGAATCACATACTCGCCAGCCGTCCTATCCATCTCAGCATTCTACTGGTACACCTTTGTCTCAGATTCCTGAGAGAGCCATTCATGCTGCTCCCTTCCAGCCAAACACTTATGGTCAGCAACCTTACTACAACCAGCAGCCATATCAAGCGCAGCCTCAGCAGGGATATTATTACCCACCCAACTACAACACTCCCAACATGGGACCGTCCAGTACTGCACCTGCGTTTGTACCCAACCAGCCAGGGCCTCCTGGTAGCTTCACGCCTCAGAATCAGCCCGAGCAACCTGTGATGTCTAACAATGGTGCACCTCCTGCTTCAGGCTCCAGTCTGGTGGTTCAAGAAGCGAATGGGATGGTTTACTACTTCGACGCGTCACAGTTGCCGCCGGTTACCAATTATCCTGGCTACCCTGCGCCTCAAGGCTACCAACCCAGTGTCATGGGTATGGGTGGCATGGTGACACCCAGCCCTGACGGCTTCTATTATCCCCAACAGGCATCCGGCATGGTCTACTATCCGCAGTAGAACTGGGGC